TCCTTGTGGTAAGAGTAGTAGAGGTTTTGGTCTCTCTTGGATGGGTCCCTTGTCATCTTCGGTGGCCACCTAAAATAATCCTTGTCTTTCATCTGATTCAAAATTCGATAGATTTGCTTTCTGAAGATAGCATCGACTCTTTGGGATGAGTCCGTCGTCCCCTTTGACGTTTCTCCCCTCTTTGATGGGTTTGGGGGGCTACCCTTCTTCCTTTAATTCTTCCTTGGTGGAGGTGATAGTCGATCAATTGGCCTTTTGTCATCTTCCACCTTTACATATCTTCTGATGTGCTCCTGCAAGTGGGACATACTCCTAGGTGGCCACAGAGTGAGATGTTTTCGCAACTCACTCTCTCTTGGGAGGCCTAAGCGAAAAGAGACAGCAGCGGTCTTCTCGTCACATTCTTCGATGTCGGCATAAGTCTCCAGGTACCTCATGGCGTACTCACGGAGAGTTTCTCCTCGTTTTTGGCACAGTGCCAAGATTGTATCAATCATTATGGGTTATCGACTATTAGCTATGAATCGAGAGACAAACTTCCTAGCGAGTTGCTCCCAAGAATAGATGGAGTTCATGGGCATCCCATGAAACTAATTAAACCCTAACTTTCCCAAATTGGAAGGGAACATCTTGCACATCAGTGCCTCATAGTTTGTCCAGAGGGTCATTTTGTTGGTGTAAGCTCCAATGCGAAGCATCGGGTCGAACTGACCATCATATAACTCGAAAGTCAGAGGATTGAATTTTCATGGAGGTTCAGATTCTCATATGGACCGAATGAAAGGTGTGGTAGTCATCCTTGCGAGGGTCTGCCTCGCCCTCTCCTTCACTGAATAAATGGGGTCATCATGAGCATAGTCATGTTGTGGTCGGGTGGCCACATCATGAGTTGGCCCAAAGCGCCTTCGTTTTTCTCCTTTATAGTCGTACCTGTGGTCTTCCCTTTGACAGCGAGAAGAAGTCTCCTGCCATCCCCTTGGCTCCCTAGGACGGCGTTGTCTATGTGTTTTGTGCCCTCCCCTACGATGAGGGTGATCATGCCTTAGAGAAAGGTCTCTAAGGGTGCAGTTAGTAACACTTCTCCTAGGGGAATACCTGTTTTAACTTTGATTGTGGGTCGAGTAACTCTTTGCTCGAGAATGGCTTCTATGTTGGGAGGAATAAGCTTCCTCAATGTGATCGTTATGACAATCATGGTTACGGATTGACCGTCTGACCTCGCTAGCAAGTTACTTGCCACTTTGGCGTAGGAGGCCCGGCCTGAGAGCTTCTAACTCCTCCGTCTTCTTCCTGATTGCCTTATGGTAATCAATCTCAGTGGCTAACACACCTTCTGCATCGAGAGTGGGTAGGTTGTCATGAAAAGGAGAATTTTCTCTTAAGTGGTCCTGCCCAACACCGGGCAGCACTTCTTCTGATAACTGGAGGTCATAGTTAGCGGGATCCTCGTAGATCGGGGGTAGTGGAAGTAGTGAACGGCTGGTTTTGGGATCGAGGGCTCTCTCGCCGGTCATGGTTTCAAGGCTTCTTGGTTGGTAGAAAACTTAATCGTTTCTCACAGATGGTGCCAATTGTATGGAAATAAATCCACACAGAGAGTAACCACCTCATACAGACTGAGAAGATGGTGGAGAAACCTTGGTGAACCTGCAAGACAAGAGAACGCCTATGTGAACTGATGGCCGGAGGCGGCCAAAGGGACTCCGATGCTTAAGTTCGTAAGCTAATGGAAGAAAAAATGTATGGTGAATAAGCTCAGATTGAATTTCATACCTGATACCCACAACCTTTTCCTATAGAGAAGCAGTGTTCCAAGTAGAATCAAACTCTAAGCTGTGATAGGATAGACCTCATCACCGATCTCCTAGATGTTCGAGGTAGAATCCTACTAGGACATTGAGTCCTGCCTTATAGGAAGGAATATGTTCGTTTGGAGGCTTTGTTTATCAATCTAGGCGACGAGCAGAGGCGACGCTAGGGCGAGGGTCATGTGGCACCAGGTGCAAGTGACGCCGGAGGCGGGGTAGGGCGATGCCCCAATGTCTGAAAGTTGGCAGGGTGCCTTGGGCGACGCCACAGGAGATTGGAGAGCACCTTGGGCATTGTGGTGGTCGACGACGCAAGAGGCTAGCCAACTCCTTGGGTGACGCTTAGGCAAAGCTGAGTGTTGTGGTCAAAGTTGGAGTCAATTTTGGTGTGCTGTGTGGCTTGGGCTACGCCTCAAGACTGCTGGGCAGCTTGGGCGACGCCTTGAAGAGGTTAGTGGGTGCCTTGGGCGTTGGCTGTGATGATCCCCCCTTCCTAGCACTAGGCCTCATTTTTTAATGTAGTTAAATAGAGAGAGCTCATGTTGGAGATGTGGTGGGCGGCGCCAAGAGGCTGCCTGGAGGCTTCTTGGGTGTTTACTATAGTGGGCAATGCCTTGTAGTTATGTGTGTGAATGTGGGCGACGCCATGGGCTAGTGGGAGGCGCCCCACTCTTGCCTCTGTCCCACAATATATATGAAGTTTTGTTTGGCAAACTCTCTATGAAAGATCAGTACTTGTCTGTTCTCCAATCCAAACATAAGATTATTGTTAATAATGGACTCTCACTTTATCCTAATCTTGAATCAATAATGCTACTTCTGGAAGCTTAGGAGATTATTCAATTGGAAACACCTTCATATCAGTGTCTTGGTGTAGGGAAGGATCAAATAATAAATGGTGTACTAAATGCACGAGACTCTCGTTATTGTGGGGTCTGGAAAATGTTAGATGTATACAACCTTACCTTACATGCAAAGAGACTATTTTCGCAACTCAAACACGTGACATTTAAGTCACAATAGAGCAATCTTACTATTACGCCAAAACACGCCCTTTATATGGACACTTTATACAAATGAAATGTTTTAGCTAGCAGTGCCTGGGATAGTATCAAAACTCGTTATCCTTGTGTCTAGTGTTATCATTTACCATGCTTTGGTAAAGTTGTGGCAAGATGAAGTTTTTTTTTTCTTATGGGTAGCTATTAAAAAGAAACTAAGAACTAAGAATAGATTGCAAGGGTTTTGCAATAATGTTGATACATTTTGTAAATTATGCAGAGAAGAACTTGAAGATCACTGTCTTCTGCTTTTTAATTACCCTTACTTTGCCACAATCTGGAATTCCACTTTGCATTAGTGTGATTCTTTTTGGCAGCCAGCGTCATGGGGTAATTTGGTAGATGAAGTTACAGTTAAATGGAGGGGAAAATTGTTACAAAAAACCATTGCTAATCTGTGTTTGTCAACTACAATTTATTTCATTTGGAGAGAAAGGAACTTGAGAATTTTTTGTAACTATTGTAAGAACTCAAATGTATACAACACCGGGGATCATTAAGCGGTTTTTTTAGTCCCCCTTCCCCTTTTTTTTTTTTTTTTTTTTTTGTGTAAGAGTCCAATTGCAAACCAATAAAATTCCGTTTATTTACCAAAAAAGTAAAATATTGTATCCAAATCAAATATCTTCTAAGAACAATTTATCTTTATTCTCTTGGTCTTTTGCAATGTTTTATGCGAGTACACAATTATCCCGGGCTGCAAAGTTTTATTGAAACATAGTTAACATGGGTCTTTTGTACTATTTCAAACATGGAAAATGTGGGATTACTCTGGGTACTCAAGTTTTTTGTTTGTGTTACTTTATTTTTATGTTTTAAAATTTGTTATTTAGTTTCTTTAGTTTCAAAGAATAGTCTTCCAGTGTGGTCACGTAGACATATAGGATCACTATTGTTGTTCAATTTAAACCATTGTTTATTATTTTACAAAACTAACACAAATTGAGAACTTAGGAGACCAACAAAAAAAGAAGTATACTAAAATGACACAAATAACAACAAATCAAGTGCTATCTTTAGGATAAGCATTACGAAACACAAACTTGTATTTATTATATTCCAAATCACTTTTTTCATAAATTCCACACACGAGAACATGTGTCTCACGAGAGGATGATTGGAAGTAGTTGCTTATATCTAAAGTTTCCCAGTGCTTTTTTTCTTTTTTTGGTCAAAAACCTAGTTTTGTCTTGAAAAAGCATTTTTTTTTTTCAAAAGAAAAGAACAAATCAGATGCCTCTTGCAGGATTAAATCTAAAAGCACACAAATACCTCATTATAGGGGTAATAGCTGTTCCACTATCAACTTTATCTTTTCCATGTGCCTCTCGCACACAAAGAGAATCCATTGTTTCTTTCCACTCGTACGATGTCCTCACTTCTTATATCAGTTCTAATGCAATTTCTTGAGAGTAATTGTATTTGAATTTAGTTTCTTACTTGAATTTGTTAATCTAATCCAACATTGTCATTAGATTAATAGTGGGTCTCAATATTTAATAAGAGAATGATTCCGACTTCTTTTGATCTTATGAATATACCGCATGTATTTAATAGTAAGAAATGAACCATTTAGAATGTCTTCCTGGTTGACCTAAATGGATTATTCGTTCATTAAAAAGTTTTGGATCAATCTCCATATTCGGATTACATTACACTCCCCACAATTGATTGATTTTAGTTATCAATGGCACAAACTGATTAGGTAATCAATAAATAAAGTTAACAGATGAAATCCAAGTAACATCGCTCTCCTTCTTTTCCCGAGCTGGTCAATGTAAGTTCAATAAAATAACATGAACCTTACTTTATTACTGTTAAAAAAGTATTCAAAATACATCAAAATGTAATTAAAGCCAAGTCCCGACCAATTTGGCTGTTAAAGTGTAGTGCATTACCATATATGCAGGCTAAAGTGGGTAAGACTTTAAGAATACCATGCAATCTTTAAAGAAAGAAAACCATAATTGGCCAAATTTCCTTAGAAAAGTGATAGCCTAATCCAAACCATTTGGAACTATAAATTAGCTGCTCTGTCATGTGTATCTATGTATATACACTAGTGGTAAAACTCTCTCTCTCTCTCTCTCTCTCTCTCTCTCTCTCTCTCTCTCTCTCCCTCTCCAGCAGTATGGTTCTCAAAGCCAATGGTGCAAAATATAGGTACAATAAGGAACTGTACAGTGCTCTAATGAGAGAAGAGGGGGACGAGGTGATACGACTTTGCCAACAAAATCCAGATGGTCCATTGTACATACTAACCTTACACCAAGACACCGTCCTTCATATGGCCATCCACTCCAGACAAACAAATTTGGTGCTCAGTTTACTCAAAGACTTGCCCGAACATCAATTTCCCAAACTGATGCATACCAATGACTTGGGAAACACCGTACTCCACGAGGCAGCCACTGCGGACAGCATAGTCCCGGCGGCCAAGGAAATACTGATCAAAGCACCAAAATTGCTAAGTAAGTGCAACCGGCAAGGAGAGATGCCTCTATTTCGTGCTGCCCGTTATGGGCAAAAAAGAATGTTTGAGTTTCTTGATGATGAAATCAACAAAAGCATTCAAAATGAAGCAGATCTTAAGGTCTTTCATTATAGGAAGGATACCGCCACTATACTTCATTTGGCTGTCCAAACCGAGCACTTTGGTAAGTAGCCCCTGACAGATAATGATACGATCCAATAGAGATCTATCACTCTCTAGTTTGCATAAAAAAAGATAACAATAAACTAGACACGTAACATGCCGTTTAGTCATCATAGTCTTACTCAGTTATATATGCATCCATTTTCATCAAAATTCACTAGAAATACAACAAGCTTATGCCATGTTTGTTATATATATTGTTAGTCAGATTGTTCAGTACTGTGACAAGGTGTATATATGATACAATTTGAGGGCTGCTGTTGCTGATCTCTTTATTTTTATTTTTCTGATTTATGCTGAGACAGATATAGCCCTCTTGATTGCAAGAAAGTATGAATACTTGCTTAATGAAAAAGACGATGATGGAATGACTGCTCTTCAACTTCTTGCAATCAATCCATCGGCATTCGACAAAGGGAGAACACAAGGATCTCTCCAGCAATTCTTTTACTCTTGTACGACACTTAACTTTTCATTTATACGTCTTAGTATATAAGTCAGATATGTATATACTACTATACATACAATCATGCTTAAAGGTACGAAGTAAATTGGGATAATGGAAAAACGAAAAAAAAAAAAAGAAAGAAAACGAGCACTCTCAAAACTATTTAAAGGAAAAAAAAATACATATATTTGAAAAATGTGGTTAAACGGTACCTTACGTATTCATGTGGTATATTTTTCAGGTATCTCAAGTCTAACAACTACTACGACAAATGGAGGTAAAGGGCTATTGAATAAGTCTAGCATCCTGTTTTACTAATATTCATTTATGGGACTTCAACTAGAAATCACACATTGTCTTTCAATACTAACGTTAAGACACAATTCAAGCTTCTTCACTCTTCCTTCAGTCAAGGAGATGCTTGAACGATGTAATAAAGTAGAAGTCTTCAATACTAGGAATTCTATTTCTGTATCTCTCCCAATTGAATGGTCTGATGGACCATAAACAAATCATAATTGTGTCTTTAATAAATTGCTTAAATTAAATATCTACTTCTTTAAATTAACAATTTCATAGTTGAAATTGAGATAAAAAAAAATGACCGTTATTGATCGAAATAAACGATGATATTGATTAATGGTTAGCATAATAGGGCAAAATCTTTTAAATATCACGGGCCATTAGTGGGCCAACCGATCATCTTGCTTTCTAAGCTGGGCCGAGCTAGGCTGTTGGGTCACGGATAAGGCCCACTGGGCTGCTGTGCTTTCGAGTTGGCAACATCACTAGCATCCATGACATACTGTTCTTCATAAAAAATTATCGTAGTTATTATATGTCATAAAAGTTCAGTGGAAGTAATTTTTTTTTTATGTTAATAGTACTTTTTGGTTTGCCATAACATGTTTTTTCTTATATCTTTGTTTGAAGACAAACATATCTGACTTTTATTTCTTCAAAAGCTCGAACATGTACAATTCCCATGTGGGAATCAATCCAAATGCAGAAACGCAACTATGAGTCAGCAGTGAAACTTGCCAAGCTTTTGATAGAGAGAGACACCTCATGGGAGGATACTGAAATTGCATTAAACCCAAGTAAGCCAAAGACCCACAAATATACCTCCAAGACTTCCCAAGGCCAAGGGGTAGAGGTGACGTCACAGAAAGCAGCATCAAGCAATCTAAAATCCGCTGCGAGAATTGCATTGTTTTTGGCAGCAAAGTCAGGCATTATGGAGATTGTTGAAGAAATACTTATGTCATATCCTCAGGCAATAGAGTATGTTGATTATCGTGGGCGTAACGTTTTACATATCGCAGCCAAGAATCGCCAAATACAAGTCTTTGATTTTATAGTAAAATTGGAAATTCCAATGAGGAGGTTGATCCGAAAGCTTGACATAAATGGCGACTCTATACTACACTATGTTAGCAAAAGATCAAAAGATCTAGGGACTGAAGACATGCGAAGCCCTGCTCTGATATTACAAGAAGATCTACTCTTATTTGAGGTGCACTTCTAGCATTGTTCCATTCCTTTAGCACATGCGGAGAAAACACATATTCTTCACTGCATATTCTTTGGGAAAAATGATATCCTCCACCACTGACCCGTTGTATCATTGTCTAATTATAAAACACTATAAAAACATAGTGTTACCATATCTGTCACTGATGATATGACTTCACCATTGCATATTGAATTTGCTGTCATGATATTTTAGTTCATAATCTAAATGCTTGAAGTATCATTGTCATTAAAATTATGGAGTGACAACCCAAGAGATTTTATCTCAAGGCATAACTTGAAAATAAAACAATGTCTTTATGTGATTGTTATGCAAGTGCAGCAAGTGGAGAAAATCTCTTCAAGTCATTTCGTCAAGCACTACAACTCCCAAGGGCAAACAGCTGCGACGCTATTTACGGAAACAAATGCTGTCCTCCGCAAAGAAGCCAAAGAATGGCTAAAGCGCACTGCTGAAAATTGCTCCATTGTTGCTGTGCTCATTGCCACTGTTGCTTTTGCTGCCGCCTACACTGTACCAGGAGGCCCAAATCAATATACCGGTTATCCACTTCTTCTCAACGAACCTTTCTTTGTCATATTCACTCTAACAGATGTACTATCTCTCACATTTGCATTGACTTCAGTGATTGTATTTCTCTCAATACTCACATCCTCGTTTCAACTAAAGGACTTCAAACAGTCACTTCCTCAAAAACTCATGCTAGGAGTTACCCTTTTGATACTCTCAGTTTCGTTTATGATGCTGGCATTTGCAGCAACAATTCTCCTAATGATTCACAACAATGAACATTGGACTAAGATAGCCTTATATGCAGTGGCGCTCCTACCGGTCTGTATTTTTGCAATCTCGTACTTACCATTGTATGTATCACTCTTCAAAACCTTCAAGTACTCACTCAGGAAAGTGGGGAAGGCCTTCCCTCGATGTGCAAGTATTTCTCCAAAATCATCAACCACCCCTCGAGTCAAGTTTCAGAAATCCCAAGCCGCGATTCCTTCCAAGCCCTCTCAAGCTCAAGGCAGTAGTTCCACAAGCCACTTTCAGCTTGAGATTGAGTAGAATTTACAGAAATATTGTTTGTCTTTTTACAGTAATTGTTCGATGTCGTCCACTACCTTTTATCGAGTGATAAGTATGAACTATATATATATATATTAGTTTTTTTTATAGATATGTAATTGTTGTCACAGACATACAAAGTTCTTATGTTTGATCTACCACAGTCCGTTTGTTTATGGTAATTGTCACCTTCAGAAAAAAAAAAAATGGTTTTATGGTAACTGTCCTCTTTATATCTTCGAGATGGAGCACACCCCTGCGGTTGTAGTGCATGTTGGTATTTCTGAAGTTGCCTACGGATGAAGGTTAGCATGGATAAAGAACTGAGATTAAACGACACAAACTATAATCATCTGATTATCGTAATAATATCAGATTAAAATCTTCAGAAGTCTTATTTATTACCAAGTCAATTGAGAAGAAAAGAAAATTCGTCTATACATTTATTCAAAATAATACTAAGCTATTGAATTCAATTTTTCAATACAATATAAATACGAAATCCTAATAGTCCTAAATTACTAGCAAATCCAAGAAAATACAAAACCCTAATGGTCCGTACTAGTTCTTTGAGCTAGTCTTTAATATTCTTTAACTGATTGCGAGGATCGAATCACTGTCTTAGACTTGAAAAGAGTAAGTTCTTATCTTCGTACAAGTCTCAGAAATCTCTCAATTCACTATACATGATACGAGGTCTTTGTCATCCGAACTAAGCCTGAGGAGCTCCGTGGCCAGATAGTGAACTAAAGCCTTCATACTAGTTAGCGTCTATAATTAAGTTTATGGGCCATCTGTTAAAAGCCTATATACTAACTTGAAGGTCCAAACAAAAGACTAACAAGATGGTTGTCTTTGAAGGCTACTCCATAAAATGGGAGTATAGTGGCCCCAAAAAACTGTGCAGTAACCTTGTATATGGTTGTTATAGCTTTTCACTTCTGTTTCGTCTTCTTTGACTTGTTTTTTCTCCGTATAGTTATGCCAATAGTTCAGGTTTTGATCCAAATCTAAATGAAAGCAAAATTTAATTAGTTGTCATCTAGATTGGTTGTTTTAATTTATAGTCTATTTTTCAAATTCGAATCCGTTATATCATATATTTTACGAGCGGAGTCGATCAAATTTTCAATTTTTACTAAATTTAGATGTAGACTATTAAACTAACATATCAGTTTTTTTTTAAAAATTAGATTCAAATTCAGATTCAATCAAGAGACAATGTTATACACATTATAATGAGTCTCTCGAAATATCTGAGTGGACGAAAGTCTCATGTAATGGCCTGCGAGGCTGCCCTGTGGCAAACACATCACATATGAGGCCTCATGGATAAGCACTAGTTTCTGACCGAAAAAACAAAAAAGAAGGATAAGCACTAGTTACCTGAGTGGGTAGAGAGCGACAGTAGCAGTGGCATGTATAAAAGGTCGAAGCATATAATGCCGAGTAACAAGTTGGAAATGGATGGTTTCTTGGTACGTGCAACGTACCATCTTCCGAAAAGAAAAACTTTATTAATTTTGTCTCAAACTAGTGGAAATTGTCATTGATCCAACTTCAGTGTCACTTTTGTGCAAATCTTCCAATAATATGTGCTTTGTATTTCCAATTCCTTTCCCAAGAAACCCTGAAATATATTGGTACATTTGTTAATAGTATAGGGTTGATGTACGACTTTTTAAACTCGGATAACAATCAAGTGGATAAAAACTCATCCACCCATCCTTGCACCGCAAGTCTTATGGGACGGGGAATTTGAAGGGGATGCCTAGCACTAGGTAGTGCCGGGAAACACTAACCAAGAAGAAACCCGACTATATTTTTGCAACTAAATTGAAAGAATTTGGATTAATTTTTCATTGAAAGTTCATTAGAAAGAAAATGCGTTTCATGAAAGTTTGGTATTTAAAGGACTTTGGGGCAATTTTTTTCGATGGGGATGCCTGATTAGGGTTGGAAACCTGACCATTTTGTGCAACTAAATTAGAAAAATTTGTATTGACTTTTTGTTATCAATTTGCCAAAAGTTCATTAGTAGAAAATAATGTGAAAGAAAGTTTGGTCTTTTAAGAATTTTGGACAAATTTTTTTTGTTTTTAATGTCTTTTTTGGATTCAAGACATAGTTTCATGTCACATATTGTCAAATCTATCTCAAATTTTTCCGTCTGAATGAGAGGTGATGCTACCAAACTTTGAATTTAGTTATAATGTCAATCCCCACAAAATGGGATCTTTCATGGACCACTCCACGCAAACAAACCCCCAAAAAATCGAAGTGTTGTCAATAATTAATATATAACAAGAAAAATCAATGCAAAAATGCCAAAGAAGGAAGAGTCCTGTCTATCTAAATCAACATCAACAATCAAGATCAAAGAGCTCCTTGATTTCATATCACCCAAAATAAACTCTTCCGGAGCTCTTTTGGATTTTTGCAAAGCTCCATGGTGAGCCTCGCCATGGACATTGAGTCGGTTTGGAGTTAACTTAAATAGATAGTTTTAAAGAGTTTTAGAGTAAAATAAGACATGTTTGTTTAAACCTTAATTTTTTTATCAGTTTATGCAGCAGCTTTTTGGACCAAAAAAAAACATGTATTGGCTGATTCATTTATGAGCTTTTCTTTCAATTTTTTTGAAGTTTTGCTGCAAATTTCACATAACTTTTTTGTTTATTATATTCATAAAATATTATTAGTGATGTAAAAAAATTTAAAATTCATATTTTAAGAACTATTATGCATAGTTTATACATAATATAATTATTTTTTTATTTTTACACAAAAAGCCAAAAAAGGTAGAAAATTATTCAAAACGGATTTTTTCAACTTTTTTATCTTTTTAAAAAACATCCTAACGGTTTTGAAGAACTTTTTTAATTCTGACCTTTTTACAAAACAATGCAAACTGCATCTTTTCACCTAAAAAATTAGCTCTAAACAAGCCCATTGTACGTTAGCTTATTGCAGGCATGCAAAGAGCATGAGTTTTAATCGGCACCGATAATTCAGTAGTGTCGAGTTATTTTAAAGCAAATCATAAACTTAGACATTATGGATTTGACTTAGTGATATTCAAAATTTACTCTACAGGTATGTGTCTCATGGGATCCGATTATGCGACTTTGAATAGATTTCTCACTAAGAAAAAATGAGTTTTGTTATTTGTCAACAATCCATGGACAAGATTGCTTGTGAGCTTCTCTTTTTTCCTTTTATAGAAAAAGGACTGTGCCATTGATTGGTCAGTTTAATCACCCAGCCAATGGTCACAAGCCATTTAGGTCTTCCATGGAATTTTCACCAGTCATTTCCCGTGGGAATTTTGACTTCACATAAGAGTCTCTATCCCACCTAACCAAATCCAACTTTCCTTTCTTCAAAGCAAAGAACTCCGAGTCACCGAGAAAGATTTTTATGATACCATTATATGAATATTGATATCGAATATGGTTTTTTTTTTTTCCTTCATTTTAGTGAATCTAAAATTAAGTTAATTATTGAGAGTGGACGGTTATTCACTTGAGATATGATTCGATCTGATGACAAAAACCTAATAAATTGTTATCTTTGGATTGATTGTGCTTTTGATTGATAAAAAAAAAAAAAAGTAGTCAATCTGTTTCATAGGAAATATTGCTTGCAACTGATTTTCAAAAAAAAGAAAGGCTAATTTCGGAGAAATAAATTGAATCCCATGTTGTTTCAGTTGTACGCAACTCCAACCCGAGCTGGTAATAGTAAGTCGTACCCATTTAGGATTTTCTTTGATTCTTATGTAATTATCAAGTAGAATTCGATTCACAGGGATAATGTGGTTTGCTACTCAGCTTTGGTGGTGTTGTGGTAATGGGTTACCCTGTCGGGTTAGTTGCTACAGCTCAAATCAAACATTCTACAATAAGAGGACTCTAATGATCACATCCCTAGAAGGTTACTACCTACTCGTCGTTCCTGACCAAAAAAAAAAAGCTTTATGCAACTAACTTATGCAATGAAATAAGAATCCATTAAAGAATAAAAGAAAATCAAACATTCCACATCACACCATTAATTTTTTAGAACAATCTTAATCTACAAAAATCATTGCAATTACTTTGTAATCCATCTGGAATGCATGTTAGTATTTTCTATTCAACAAAAGATCATTATGTATCCACACAAGCCCACACATGCATATATAAATTATACATATATGTCAACTATCCATATATATACACATATAGTAGAAATTATATTCTGGACCCCATGTGTAAGGATTTGCTTGGAAAAGGATAAGGGAAGACCAATTGAAAGGGTTTGGCAGATGGGAAATGGGAAACCACACATCCTTGTATAAAACATGCAGTGCATTAAATAATTGAAAAAGAAAAACAAATAAGATTAAAGGATATACAAATTTATAAGGTTCAATAAATTTTTAAATACATTCACAAAAGAAAGTATTGTTTCTCACTATACAAGAATCTAATCGACTACAACTTACATACCGGCACCAATTGGTAAACCCAACACTAGTAAGGGTAACGCTTCAACTTAGTGAATATAAGTCACTTTCCCAACAAAAAAGCGTGGGGTGTTCTCACATTGCCCTGCATTCATTGAACAATTCCAGTTTCCATCACAACCCCCGGCGCCACCACGACGGTGAACACAGTCAATTCCGTTGCCGGGGGGGGGGACGACTCCAGAAAAGAAATGATATATAAATGAACTTGCTTTTTGACTGGCTTATTATCATGTATATAGGGAAATGTCATGACCAAAAAATGGGATAAAATAGACCTCAACCGCTGTGGTAGTAAAGAAGATAGATGAAACCTGAATTTTGGATGAATAAAAATGGGACTCAAAACATCATAGTACTGTAATGATACGTTATTTGGTCTCTGTTTATAGTCTCATTTTTTGATCGGTCTATCGTTATTCACATTAATTGGTGCCTTTATTGATGGGTGTAGAGGGACCAAGATGCTGCATCTGTTGGATTGGAGACC